CAGCACTATTTGTGCCTGTGATGCTTTCTTGCTAGACAACTTGTTAAAATGCTAGCTTGCTAGGTTTTTTAAGGTTAGTATCTTGCTAGTTTTGTGCATATGATGATTTCTTGCTAGACAACTTGTTAAAATGCTAGCTTGCTAGGTTTTTTAAGGTTAGTATCTTGCTAGTTTTGTGCATATGATGCTTTCTTGCTAGACAACTTGTTAAAATGCTAGCTTGCTAGGTTTTTTAAGGTTAGTATCTTGCTAGTTTTGTGCATATGATGATTTCTTGCTAGACAACTTGTTAAAATGCTAGCTTGCTAGTTTTGTGCCTATGTTTTTTTTTCTTCCCTGCTGAAAAAAACGATAAACGTTGAAATTTGTAATGGTTTTACTGGTTATAATGGGAATTGTATTGGTTGTAATGGAAACTGTAATGGTTCCTGTTGGTCTCTACTGGTAATTGGTCCCCTTCTATTGGTGGCTTGTTAAAACCAATAAATCCTAATGGAATATGTCCCAAAACACACTACAGGAAGCCATTTTTTAATGGTTTTAATGATTAATAGTTGATGGTTTGTAATATTTATAATGGTGTAAGTAGAAACTAGGGCTGCACGATAAATCGCATGCGATATTTAACACGCATCTTGTCAGTAAAGCCGGTTCTGTAATCAGCGGTAAATCTCCATCACGTGCGTGCTTTCACATGGAGCAGCATTAACTACACGGAGCCGTTGTTCACCGACAAGCTGCGCAAAATATGATTGCGATTTTGCGCAGCTCGTCAGTGAACAACGGCTCTGTGTAGTTAATGCTGCTCCATGTGAAAGCCCGCACGTGATGGAGATTTACCGCTGATTACAGAACCGGCTTTACTGACAAGATGCGTGTTAAATATCGCATGCGATTTATCGTGCAGCCCTAGTAGAAACCATTAGAATTTATGTGATGGTTGCTATTGTTTTTTTCAGCAGGGTTGATAGATATCTTGCTAAAATGCTAGCTTGCTAGGATTTGAGATGCATTTTGAGTCTATTATAGGTTCAAAATATTGTCTAAATATCCTTGTTTGCCCTTGTGTTGCTGAATAAGGTAGACAGCATGCTAAAATGTTGGAAGGAAGAGTGCGAGTTGTCTGTGATGGCCAAAAGTGCCATTTATGCTGTTTTTTTTTCAGAGTTTTTTTTGTGGTTGTGATGTGTGAGGTGGCCGTTTCTTAATTTTTTGGGCGAGTTCCACCCAAAACCACTGTCCGCTGACACTTGCTAAATGCAGAGATGCTTATTCTGATTATTTTGAGTCTATATCTTCAGAATCTGTGTAGATTGACATTGCCTTTGTGTTGCACAGAAGTCCTGTCTGTAGGTGATACATGTAGGCTATTGCTAAAATGTCTTGGTTGGCGGAGCGCTAGGTTTTGTGACAAGTTCGGGCACGTTGCCCAAAAGTGTTGTCTAGATGGGCGACACGCAAGGTTTTGAGGCACAGCTGTAGTCTCTTCATTACTCCATCTCTAGGAACAAGTGTGTGTTTAAGAGTAAGCTTTTTTTTGTAATGCGTGTTTAAAAAAAGGAAACAGGAAGTTGATCTAATTTTTGAATGATTTCCTCAGGTGTTTGTGTTTTATTACTTGCGTGTTTCTGTCAGATGTCTGGTGCGTGACTGTGACAGGATGTGAAGTGCGTTTGATTGACAAGCACCGGTTTGAGAGAAACCCACCACAGCTTCTCTGTTTACTCCCAGCATGCATTGCATGCAGCAGCATCACTCTTCTCGGACATCATCTGAAGTTCCTGCACATTGTTTTCCCTTGTATATCTCCCCATCCTCTCATTCTCCTCCTCTATGGAGTGAACGGTGTGAACATGAGTAAGTGGTTGTCGTGGAGAAAGCGCAGCTTTTTTAGAAAACAGAGGAAGAAGTTTTCCTTTCCTGAGTTAGGTAAGAGCGCACTCTTTTACTTCCTGATTCACAAAACACTTATGCACTTTTCAGATGTTTCGTTTCGGCTGCAGGTTATTCTGAAGCTTGTACATGCATATTTAGATCCCCTAGACTCAGATCAGGCTGTGTGTTGTGATATTAGGAGTGTGATATAAGTTGAGTTGTTGGATGTGTGCGAGTATTATTGTGTGTATAATGTGTGTATCATTGATACACACTTAGTGTACCAGTAGTTATTGTGTTTTAGGTGTGTGTTACTGCTTCATGTTTTATCAGGTAGTGTACATATGTAAATTTCATGTACAATATAAAAGTATATCCAAGAGGTGAAGTCTGTAATATTAATATTTCTTACTTTTTAATATTTTGTGTGTGCATGTGTGTGTATATATATATATATATATATATATATAATGGAGGGTAGTGTCTCAAAAAAATTGGATGAGAAAATAATCGATATTACAAAAATAAAACAACACAAATATGAGTATGACATTAAAAGTATAAAAGTCACTAGTTTGTATTAGGTAACACTGTCCTCCCCTCGGCCCATTGACTTTTAACAGAGATCCATTAGTGTGCCATGGGTTTAGTGGGGGGTAATTGAGAATGAATGGGGGAAAGTCACGTGAGAGGAGGCAATGCCTCCATCACGCTGTAATTGGATACGATTGATTATGATTGGATGTGATTGGTTTGTGAGATAAATCCCGCTTCTTGTTTCCGTGCGAGCTCTTGGCCTGAATTAAGAAAATAATGGTGTTATTAACTAATTATAAAGTAAGTAAACAATTCACCCACTGCTTTGTGTCATGTCAAAATAAACCTTGAAATGGCCTGAAAACGTAATGACTGTCAGTTTTTAGTGAGCATTCAGCTTGATGAAATTGAATATTAAAGAAGCAGCTAGGATTTTATTTTAGAAATAAGTCTTACTTTTCATTTAACGCAAGGAAGAAGCATGTGTCTGGAACTTTTGTTACCGATTCTTGACTACAGGGATGTAGTGTATCAGCATGCCTCTTCTTGTCTTCTTGCCTCCCTGGAAGCTGTGTATCATGGTGCCTTAAGATTTATTATGGATTGTAAATTTTCTACACATCACTGTACATTATGTAATAGAGTTGCCTGGTCTTCTCTTGCTGTTGCGAAGGAAAATTCATTGGTACTTATTGATTTACAAAGGAATTCAGTTTTTTTTCCCACCCTATCTCTGTTTGATTCAACAAAAAGTAGTTGGTAACTATTCATTGCGTTCCCAGTCTTCTTATAACCTCCATGTACCTTTAGCTCGAACTAATAGGTAAAACCACTTTTGAATATGCTGCACCGTCAGACGGGAACTCTCTTTAAATGAAACTGCGGCTGATCATCAGTTCACAAAAAAAAAAATTAATAAAAAATAAAATATAGGTAACACTTTACAATAAGGTGTCATTTGTTAACATTGTTAACTAACACGAACAAACAGTGAACATTTATTACAGTTATTAATCTTTGTTAACGTTAGTTAATAAAAATACAGTTGTTCATTGTTAGTTAATATTAGTTCAGTGCATTAACTAATGTTAACAAAAATAACTTTTGATTTTAATAATGCATTAGTAAATGTTGAAATTAATATTAGCTAAGATTAATAAATGCTGTAGAAGTAATGCTCATTCTTAGTTTATGTTAACTAATCAAACCTTATGGTAAAGTGTTTCCAAAATATTGTTCAAATTGTTATTGCCCTTAATTATTATTTTGGAATAAATGTAAAAATGCATAAAAACACTATGAAATGTATAATTAGTAATACAAATATAAAAATAAAAAAATCTTAATAAAATACAAAACAGAATTATATTTGTTCTCTTTTTTTATGTAATGTGTAAACATCAGCTTGTAACACTCCAAAGAGAAAGGAAAACTTGAAATCGCATCATATGACCCCTTTAATGTATTAGTAAAATACTTTTATCAAAAATAGTTAAACTTTCAAACTTATTCTTCAAAGTAATGTTACAGTTCCAACATTCCATTCCATCACATTCTCTTTGGTCGTCACGGTGACCTGCCATATGGTTGTCGGGGTGACCCACAGAGTCGGCCATGCTCTCGCTCTTATGCACGCTGGGATGCCATTCCACAGAGACATGTGTGTCTTCTACCAGTGGAGCACAACATACATGCCCAATGCCCACCTCCCTCCCTCCCTCCGCTCGCTCTCTCGCTCTGTTTCTCTGTCACTCTTTACTATATCTGAGCGTAGAGAAGACAGGAATGTGAAGTTGGACAGGACCGTTTGTTTGGTTCTCTCTTTGCTTTTCTCCATCATCTGTTGGTTTATGACTCCATGGCTACACAGAGTGTGAAACTCCGAGGTAAGCGGCTGTGTTTTACTCTAGGTACAGGTGTGTTTGTGTGTGTACCTGTGGTGTTGGTTGTGTTATTGAGCGTGCTAGTGTTCAAGTCAGATATTTAGTATGTAGTGTGCTGTGAGGTTGTTGTATATACTGTATGAATGTGTTTTCAGAACTATAACTTTTGAGCCCTTCTAGCTAGTAAGATTTGACTGCTACTACGAGCCAAATATAGTAAAGCTCTGGTTTAAAAAATAACCAAAGGTCGTTTTCCAAAAGTATAATAATATACAGCAATATTAACATTTTTGATGTCACACAGACTTCTGTGAATATTTTTGAGTGATGCAAACGAAACTGAAACTGAAGTTTAAATCCGAGATGCCATTTATATAAAGGTTTTAAAGGAATAGTTCACCCGAAAATGAAAATTTGCTGAAAATGCACGTACCCCCAGACTATCCAAGATGTAGATGAGTTTGTTTCTTCTTCAGATTTGTAGAAATGTAGCATTACATCACTTGCTCACTAATGGATGCTCTGCAGTGAATGGGTGCCGTCAGAATGAGAGTCCAAACAGCTGATAAAAACATCACAATAATCAACCCACACCACTCCAGTCCATCAGTTAATGTCTTGTGAAGCCGAACGCATGTTTGTAAGAAACAAATCCATCGAGACATTTTTAACTTTAAACAGTTGCTTCCGGCTAAAATATGAGCCCTCTATACATAATATTGCTTCCTTCAGTGAAAAGTCATTTAATCTGAATCCGGAGAGAAATCTGCACAGATCAAGCACTGTTTACAAGCCAAAACAGCTCTAAACAAATATGTAGATAGATTTTGTTGTGAGTAAACTAAATTTCAATACCGTGATAATACCGTATACCGTGATAAAAGCATGAGCAATTAATCGCAACATGAGAATTTGATACCGGCATATCCCTAGTTGACAACAGGAGATGGACGTTTCATTGGAGGTTATGGACAGTTTTTGGCTATTGTACCTTTAAGAATTGTATATGCAAATGACCTCTGTTGTGATTCGCTAACATCTCATTATATTGTAGCTATAGTGTTGTTTATCAGAGTCACTGAATTCCTCATTAGGATTGGACATGTACTGTAAATGTGGCCGCGTCATATGTCATTGAGCTTAAAGTTGTATTGTCATAATTATGATGATTTCAGAGTCATTTTTGCAGTTTAGTTTAAGTGAATGTTATTGTATTTTCACTTGGCATATCAAACTCAGACTTTTATAAGTACATGAAAGTTGTTGTTTTTTATGATATGACTGTGTTTTTGAATTCCTGTCTATAAACGAGTGTTTTTCTTGAACTTTTCCTCCCTCTGCCTTCATGCAGACAAGCTCGGGCAGGAGTTCACGCTGGAGGAGGAACCACTGCCTCAATTATGGGAATTTTATGCATTATGGAATGTCCCATGTCCAAATATATCTCATATAAGCAGGTCCTGTACAGATGTGATCAAAACGCACACAAACCAGCACGTTTATGTAAACTGGAATGTTTTATAAAGCATCAAATCTGGCCTCTATATACGGCTCAGGTCCTTCCTTCATTCTAAGTCTTTGGGAATTGTTTGCCTTCTTTGTTTGCTTATAAACTGAGCCCTGTTCCTAATCGTAGAGACAGTTCATCTCATGCTGACAGTTTTGTGCTGGTCTTTTGTGAACTTTGGCCTCAGCCTTTCTCTGGATTACTAAAGGACACCGAGTGTGTTGTGATTCAGTTGTGCTCATGCAGCATAGCAGAAATGCCTTCAGTCAGTCAGTCAGTCAGTCAGGAGCAGTGTGGCTTGATGGGCACTCATAACACACACCCACACACACAGTGTTTGTAAAGAACGGGGCTGCGAGTCACTCGAGGAATGTCAGGGTTTAGATAAAAGGCAAGTGTTTGCTTGTGAGTGCGATAAGAGTTATAGAGCAGGATGTGTGTGTTCATCACTGCTCGTTTCTGACTATTGTTAAATTGGATTGGCGGGGGTCTGCAGGTGAATGTCAGGAAACATGTTCAGGCCACAACCAAAAAGTATAATGTTAGGGGCAGAGTTGGTGGTCACACATTACAAGTAACAAGAGTTACGCAATCAGAGTACTTTTTCTGAATGGTCATGAAAATGTTGCTATGCAAAAACAAAATGTAATGGTAGTATTTAACGGTAGTCTTTATTTTCCTACAGTTCTTTTTTTACTGATTTTGACTGTATTAATGAGATTCACATATTCAGTGCTTGTGCAGAGTGTTGTAAAGATGACCAGTGATATCTGCATTGTAGATAGGGATGATGATCGGTTCCTTCCTGTGTGTCAGAGATAGGGCTGGGTATCGAGTTCGATACTTTTTAGGCACCGACCGAATTGCCTCGATACCATCGAGTATCGAAAAACGTCTCGTCGTTCGGTACCAAATTTCGATACCTAAGGGGTTAATCCGGTATCGGTATTGATATCGAAAAATTTTGAACGATACCCAGCCCTAGTCAGAGATGTGTTTCTCACTTCACACCATTTCTGTTGCCTGCAGCGCATTCCTGACTTTCTGGCCCTCATCTACACACACACACACACACACACACACAGACTCACTCACTCACTCACTCTCTCTCTCTCTCTCTCTCTCAAAAGAGCAGGTGACCCAGCAGGCTGGTGGTCTTAACCTTTGATCCCTCTAGGGTTCACGCTGGTTACACAGTGATTTTTGTTGTGTGTTTGTGTGTGTGTGTGTGTGGGAATCTTGTCCCTCGGTAACAGGATCACACACAGGCTCTGTGTGGATTCAAACAGGGATATATGGACAGCAGACACAATGTGACACTAATGCTGTAATGTTTTGACCTGATGCTGCATTAGACAGACTCCGCCTCCTGTGCTTTGATTGACAGTTACAAGAAAGCATCGTATTGGTCCCCTACTTGACCTACACCTCAAGGTTTCTAGCAATGTTAAATATCTCTGTCAATGAGTATCTAGTTTAAAGGCCTCTAGTTAAGAGTAGACCCACGTGGAAATTGCAGGGTGGAAAATCTGCAGGACTGTGTGGAGTGGATGTAATTAAGCAGCGCGGAGAGTAAGACACTGAGAGCATTATACAATTATCCATAATATTTAAAGGGATAATTCACCAAAAAACAAGCATGTATGAGTCTCTGTTGTTGAATGCAAAAGTCGATATATTTAAGATTGTTTTTAACCAAAGAGATGCTGGCAGCCATTGACTTCTATAATATATATTTTTTTCATACTATGGAAGTCAACCTATGTTTGGTTACCAAAATTCTTCAAAATATCATCTTTTGTGATCAACAGAAGAAAGAAACGATTACAGGTTTGGAATCTGCTTCCAGTATTGGCCTAATCTAATTGCAATTAATAATTTAAGAATCGATACCCATTTGCTTACTGAGGATTTGTCCCTGAATTAAATTGTACACAGAAGATGTAGCCAATTAATTCAGTTCAGTCATCCGAATGGTTGTGTGTCAGTTGCTCTTTTTTTAGTTTGTGGAAGTGAAAGTGTCTGCAGATCTCAGCAGTGTCACCATATTGCCTTCTTACGTACCTACTTACCTCTCTCTTCTCCTGTGTCTGTTGTTTTTCAGATGAACATGATGCCGTACAGAAAAAAACCTTCACGAAGTGGCTCAACGCGCAGTTCTCCAAGGTAACCGTGCCGACAGAGCTCGTGCTGAACTTCTGCACTTCTGCTTCGATGGCTGATCTCAGAGCGGCGTCTCGTGAAGAATAACTCGCGTTCAGCCGGAGATCTCAAACTGTTGATTTCTTCCTAAGCAGTGATGCACTCAAGGTTCCTCGACAGTGTGTTGTGAATATAGTCAATGCTGAAGTGCTTGTTAGGCATGGCATACAGAGGAGACTGTATTAACAACACCGCTCGACCTTCTGCATCTTATAAAGGACACCACATGAGGAAAATATAAAGAGCACAGATATTCTTTAAAGTGTCATTTTATTAAATTCATGCATTTATCTTTTCAAATTAATATGCATTTAAATTGGGATGCATTCAATTGATCAAAAGTCACTGTAAAGGCATTGGTAATGTTGGAAAACATCAATTTCAAATAAGTGCTGTTCTTTTGAACTTAGTGTTTATTAAAGAATCCTAAAAAAAGGTATCGGAGTTCCCTCAAAAATATTGGGCCGCACAACTGTTTTCAACATTGATAATAAATGTCTCATGAGCAGAAAATCAGCATATTACATGACTTCTGAAGGATCATGTGACACTGAAGACTGGAGTTAATGATGCTGAAAATTCAGCTTTTATCACATAAATAAATTACATAATATATATTCACATAAAACGTTATTTTAAATTGTATACGTATCAGAAGCCAGGAGCGTGCCTCTGATTTACATAGACTCACTGTTGGTCAGATCAGGGTTTGGTTTCCTGCAGTGGTGGGTTTGGTGTCTGAAGTCAGAGCTCTGCTCTCTCTCACTTTAATTACATCACTCTCTCACGTAGTTAATGCTAAAGAGAGCGCACACCGCTTAAATTTGCATGTGAAGGAGAACACACACAGCAACTCATTTGTGTACCGACGCTGTTGACAGCTGTTAATGCACAATCATCGTGTTAATGCACAGTTTTAGATGGGCTGTAACTGTAATACGCTCTAAGATTTTCATTCGAACTGAAAGCACAAATCTAGGCTGTGTGCTGCCTGTTTCAGAGCAAAACGCAGAACTGTGACATTTCATTCACTGATGCTCTTCACTCAGCAGCGTTAAAACCGGCAAAATAAAAACGAAAGAAATAAACTAAAGAAAAAAGTAAAAAAAACAAACAAACAAAACAACAACAAAAACAAAAACAATTAAAATTTAAATATTAGTACTGTATTTTTTAAGTGTGCTATAAAATAATTGTATTTTATTTAATATTTATTTTATTAGTTTAAAATATAATAGTATCATCACGCTTTATTTTTGATTAAGTGCAATAGTACTATTATTACTATTGTTAATTGTTGTTTTTTTTAATGGGTCACACTATGTGCACCAAAGCAAATCTCCAGGTGCTCTCATGGGAACCAGACCGAAAAACATCTGTGCACCCTGTGTATGTTATTATTTAAATGCTGCATGTGCATGTATCCTGGTAATATGCTGAGATAGCTGTAGGTCAATTCTTGGGTTGACTTCCCACTTTCACTTTCAAAACTTGATTCAGTGGTTAGTTTGCAGTCAAACATGTCTCTACATGGCATTTCTAATATAGTTATTGTTTTAAATATGCTATTATTAATAATAATAATAATAATAATACAGTAGTCAACATTTGAAGTGGATTAAAACCATTCATCAAAGTTGTCCTAAAACCAAAACAATACCTGTTCTTGTCTTTTTTGATCCACTTCAAACGTTGACTACTGTAATCAAATAATAATTAGCATTGTTTTGTATTTTATTTGTTGTATATTGTATAATTGTATTAAAATATTAAACGTGAAGGTACATTTTTTTGTTTATTACTATGTGAGGTGTGATTTTTGATTATTTAGTAAAAAAAAACAACAATGTGGAAAAGATTATTTTTTAATGTGCATTTAACTTTACTGTTATGTGTTGTAGACGGGGAAGGCGCCCATCCAAGACATGTTCTCTGACCTGAGAGACGGCAGAAAACTCCTCGATCTCCTGGAGGGGCTGACTGGAAACACACTGGTGTGTGCATGCATGTGCGTGTGTGTGCGTGTGTGTGTGTGTGTTTGATGGTTGGGAGGGTTTGAGTAGCGATCGAGTGTAATGTGTCTGAATGGTGTGTTATATTTAGCCTCGATCAAACACTGATTTAGAGTTACACACACACAGAGCGATTGAGTGACAGAGGCTGTGGGCTTCATCTTCATCAGTCCTGATTAAACTCATTACAGTGTTTCATCTTCACAGTATGGCCTCATGTGAGATGTAGCTCTTATGTAAAGTAGCACGCCATTATTTTGATGGAGTGAATGGTATCGGATATCAGACTGTGAAACTGAATGATTGTGTTATAGTATTGACATCGTACTGTAAGGGAGGCCTGGGTAATTTATCAACTATTTATTTATTAAACATTTTCTTTGTGATGATTTTGGTCATTAAGGTTTGAATCAGTTGAAACTGGCTCTTTCAAAACTTGATTCGGTCATATGCTTTTTGTTCATTTAGTTTAATCAGTGTGGAAAAAAGTGTGGATTTTTAATTGTTGCATCAAATATTACAAATCAAATTGGCAACTAACTTTGTTTGGTTGAAATGGTTCTTCTGATTGGAAAAAAATCACCTTCAAGTAATTTTTCAGCAAATACAATACACATCAAGATATATATTGAATATCGTCAAAAAGGGGGAAAATAGTTGGAGGTTAGTGCAACTTTCAAAATTTGATTCAGTGGTTAGTTTGCAGTCAAACATGTCTCTACATGGCATTTCTAATATAGTTATTGTTTTAAATATGCTATTATTAATAATAATAATAATAATAATACAGTAGTCAACATTTGAAGTGGATTAAAACCATTCATCAAAGTTGTCCTAAAACCAAAACAATACCTGTTCTTGTCTTTTTTGATCCACTTCAAACGTTGACTACTGTAATCAAATAATAATTAGCATTGTTTTGTATTTTATTTGTTGTATATTGTATAATTGTATTAAAATATTAAACGTGAAGGTACATTTTGTTGTTTATTACTATGTGATGTGTGATTTTTGATTATTTAGTAAAAAAAAACAACAATGTGGAAAAGAT